TCCACTAACGCTGAAGAATGCAGCCAAAAAAATGAGTGACGAATGGACGGGTGACGAATGTTGCTCGACTGCCGCTCGAAATTCGTGTCAGAGAAGAGATGGAGCGCGCGCTAGTTTATGCGTCTATTATGTCATTCATCGAGTCCTTGATCACAGTATAGTCGCATACATCATCCTTTTGTACGATACCTTGTCTCCGCATTTGTGTTCAAATATGTACTTTGCATTCACTAGTCGTCAAACGACGAACTCATTGAGTGACCATTAGGGTTGTAACAGTTTTTCCGGATGGGGAACAACGTCACGTAACAGTCACAGTCTGCTTTGCGCCAAGTTTACCTTGGTAGTTTTTTCAGCATGTTACCTCTCGATTTCTGGTCAAACGTTGGCGCGCGAATTCCGGCCTGTCTGGCTATGTAAGGAAGGTCGCTGAACGGACTCCACGGTGGCACGGAATCAAGTTGAATCAGCATCAAACAACAACCCTAGCGGGGCCTGTGTGCTCCCGCAGCCGGCCGTCCAGCCTCGAATTTTCCAAAATCGGTAGCTTTTTATCTTCAGAGCGCGACTTCGCTTCTCAGGTCATTGTTGAACGGTGGACTCACTGGGCAACCTGACACGAGAGCATCGGTGTTTCACAAATATACACAACGTTAACCGCAAACCATCCTATTCCAATACAGCCTGGACTTGGATCTTTCAATTACACAAAACATTGTGGTATGCCATCTTTCGAGATAAGCCATCACCGATATGATTTCTGACCACTTGTCAGATACAAGTAGTACTTCCCCGAGTTGTTCTGTTTCAATTCACCATTCGTGCCACAGTGTATGATCGCTGAGATCGATGTCGATGTTAGTATTTCTATGTCATATCCTCTCTAGCTCTCTGACCTCATCAACAATTCTTGCCGTACTGACCCTCGATTACGGGAATGAAGCTGGGAGAGGGCTGTCCCAGGTCGCTGTCAAGGGTGCTGAGTACGACTCCACAGGCTTCAGCCCCATCCAAAGTGAAAAGGACCCGGGTAGGCCTTATCAAACTCCTACGGGTTAATGGACAACCGAGAGAAGAGTCGATTCATTTGGTTTCATGTCACAGCGGGCGTTGAAGAGTCTGCTGTTGCGTTCACCGTCGCTGAGAAGATAAGAAGTCAGAAAGTGATAGAGCGGACGAATATCGAAAAGCGGCTTGCGGGAACGTTCTTTTTCTCGTGCAAGCACACGATTCTGTGTGGAACAGCTCCAGTCGCCTTTGAACCATGTTTATGCTCGGGTTCACGAAGCCAGTTGTTGTGCAATCCGGGAGGCCGCTAAGCCCGTCTTGATCCATAGCCTCGTTCAGCATTTGACCTCACATTCAATACGCCCGTACCTTTTTTCGAGTGGCTAGAGGACGGAAGACTGGACGCACTCGATGTTGAGGCAGGTGGTGGAGCGATATTGACTGGCACGTTGATATTCATTTCGCTGGTATGAACCATTACGAACATAACTGAAAGGCGCTGCACTTTCCTCATGTACAGACGCAGAATCTGAAAATATGGAGCGGCCCTATCATATGTCGATGAAGTCACAGTGAGCGTCAGATCGACTTCTGATTGTGGCAAGTTACGGCTATGTAAAGAAACGTAGGAGATACTCGGTCCAATCTACTGTATTGTACAAACCAGGAGGCGGTGATCGAAGGCTCAATATAATGAGTACAAATATTATAATGCGCGCAGTAATATATAAGAGAGAACCAAATACTGCATAGGAGTGTCGAATCCACAATATGACGGATCTCGGAGGTGTCATTGTGAGTGCCATATCTTCAAGGTATACGTCAATCATGCGGGAGCCAAGAAAAATCAAAACAAACAGTGGTGCACATGCAATCACAAAGGAAGCCACACGCCATAATATCTGCTCTGCGTGAGTCTGAAACAAAAAATTCCAACCCAGACAATGTATCCCCCCTAGCAACATTCCACTATGACCTCCAACGAAAGCTGTGATCTCCCTCCCTCCCTCCAGCAGCGTCGCACTGTAACCACGGATTAAAATTCCGACCCAGGCTCCGGACGATATAACACTGGAGACAAGTGCAATCCGGTTCAACAGCCTCATACCTACTCTAAAATTGGGATTTAGATTGACAGATGCATAAGATCTCATGAGAGATGCGATCCGCTCCTCTCCGAACAGCCGTGTAGCTGCTCTCATAAAATGAGATCCTATGGAAGATGAGATCCGCTGGTCCACTTCGTACAGCCATGTAGCTGCTCTCAAAAGGGGAGATATCATCTGACATCCGATCCGCTGGCCCTCTGCGATCAGCCATGTAGCTGCTCTCTAACGCGAGATCTCATGAGAGATGTGATCCAGTCCTCTCCTAACAGCCTCATAGCCACTTTCATGGCAAGTCCTCCTACATGATCTCCGATGATTTTGAGAGCTGTGGTGACATCACTAGGCCCACCGTAGCCACCTAGAGACGCGACACGACGTGAACGGGCAGCACTGGGGGACGTTATTGTGCCCATGCCCGCAGAACTCAACCAGGGATAGATGACATAGAACCAATAACGAGAATAGCCTACATGGCTGAATCTTGAATCTGCCTTGCTATAATGTTTGCGAATCAGAGCAATTTCAGGCAAGAATATTGACAATAACATACTCGTATGTTAAGGTTGCGTCGCCCAACGGTAATGCTGTTGCTTTCCAATGAACAATATAAGGACGTCTCACATCTTTTGGCTTCTTCCACCACCAGCAATAGGCAACACATGTCAGAACAACTATAGCCAGGGTGTCGATTTCAAGCAGTTATTGGAAGGTTCTGGCCACGACGAGCGGCGAGCTGGAGAACAAACCATACAAGTTGAAGAATGGCGACACCTTTGGATAGTATGTCACCCTTGCTTCGGTCTTCGATGTCCGCCTTCTGGATGACAGGCATGTCCACAGATTCCCGAAGAACAAATTGTAGGAGTTCATCGGGTGGTGTAAGAGTAGCTCGCGGCTCGTCATTGACGTATAGGATGAACCCACCCATCCATGCTAAAAACGAATGAGTGATTGTCCAATCTGAGAAGACATCGGTTGCACGTTTGACTACTGAATAGTCCAAGTACTGACCTCTAAACTCTGCACTTCCACTACGCAACGTAGCTTCTACATCTGGACGGTGGTCTTGAGCATCGACAGGTTGTGCACTCAAGGCATCATTGAACCGTTTTTTAATTGCAATAGCGCTGAAAAAACTGCCGCGAAGCCCAGGTGATAATGAGTTCTGGAGCGACCAATACCATGGCCATGATGCTATACGACGAAAGACAATATAGCGTGTCTTCTCTTCCATACCCTGAATGTTCGGATGAATGGCGGTCCACGCGCATGCAAATAAGGTTACACCACAACTCCAGATGATGTCCCACAAAGTTCTGGTGTTATTGCTAGGTGGAGAGTCGTTGGCATCAAGTGTATGGATAATGGTGCCATTGAGGTGCAGAAGTGAAGCGCAAACAAATGGGATGTATAAGAGGATAGTGCAGCGTAGGAGGGCCATGAAGTGTAATCCGACTACTATGATCTGTTCACTCTGCTCTCTTTTGAAGCTGTAGCTGCGTGTATTGGCAATTCATGATAAGCCAGGGTCCAGGTACAAAAAGGTGTCGTACCCTTCCCGAGTCGGTTCCTTTGAGTAACTTCAAACAAAGTTTGAACTGTTACCCCTGTGAGGCTGTGACACAGCACTCACAACGTTTCACAGACCCCAGACTCCATTCAACATCTTCGCTTGAAGAAGCTTGAAGGCCCCATACCATACAAAATTTGAGCAAAAGCAAAATTCGATATCACCTCAACTGGTTACGGTTCGATTTGCCACTATGTCGGAAGGATTTTCGATGGCCGATCGTTGTTACGCCTGTCAGTCATGCTGTAGTGGTGTATATTACAAGCCAAAGGAATAGCGGCATATCAGTGAGCATCCTCGGTCACCCACTCGTCCTAATCATCACCTGAGAGAACTGCTCAAGGATGAAAGACTTACGTGGCTCACGAGCGCTCTGCATGGAGTCTGGACAGCATTCTCATATTCCCACGTGTCCAGCTTGATTCTCTGCGCTCTCATCTTCAGCTGACACGATAACCACTGGCAGCAGAAGCGGAGCCGCCGAGGACATCCACTGGCAAACGAACCATACGAGCTGAAGAATGGCGACGCCTTTGGATAGTATGTCACCCTTGCTTCGGTCTTCAATATCCGACTTCGGGATGACAGGTATGTCCACAGATCCCTGAAGAACAAATTGTAGGAGTTCATCAGGTGTAAGAGTTGCTTGCGGCTGGCCATCATCGTAGAGGATGAATCTGCCTATTTACGTGAAGAATCCATGAGTAGTTGTCCAATCTGCGGAAACATTGGTTGCATGTTCAGTACCGAATAGTCTGAGCACTGACCTCTAAACTCTGCAGGTCTGGGAGCGCCTGAACTTCCACTCGATTCCGGACATTCCTTACGCAACGTAGCTTCTACATCTAGATGATGGTCGCGGGCTTCAGCAGGTTGTGCACTCGATATCGGTGCCATTGAGACACAGGAGTGAAGCACAAACAAACGGAATGTATGAGAGGACAGCGCAGCGAAGGAGGGCCATGAAGTGTAATCCGACTACTATGATCTGTTCACTCTGCTCTCTTTCGAAGCTGTAGCTGCGTGTATTGGCAATTCATGATAACTTGAAGCTGGGACTTAAGGTGTCGGAGAAATAACGAAATGTGGCAGAACAAATCAAGTTCTTTGAAACAAACTTCAATGCAAGTGATCGTACCTTAAGTCCAACTCGAACTTTCCGCAGCCGCGGTGCATCAAACGTAATGATGAGACCTCAGAAACCTTGGTATTCACTGCGAGAGGTACTGCCATGTTATGTCGAGCAAGCCTTATTGTGGCGGATATCGGCGATAGTGTGGCCTAAAACGGAAAGAAAGAAAAAGTATATTGCATCGCGGCACAAAAAAAATACTCCAAGTGTACTGCTTTCCTGTCGGTATCAACTACCTCGGATTCCACTCGCGAGGAGTAGGCCAGAAGTCAGAACAGCGTATCTGCACAAGTCAATTCATTATGACTTGATCTTGGCTTTCGGGTAACCGGCCCTCATCAGCACGAACTGGGGTCACTTATGATCTTCAAATACGGCACCGTGAAAGATGGAACGCCCGTCAGTCATGTTCGTAATCCGCGCTCTCATCTTCAGCTGACACGATGACCACAGCAGAAGCGAAGGCGCAGAGAACGTGGAGGTTCATAAGGCAGCAAATGAAATCCCCGGTGCATGTTAGAGAGATAATCCGCGAGGTCATCCATGTGGCGAACCGTGTGCAATAAATCGTTGAGGGAAATTCAGAGACGCTCCGATCCAGCATGAGCAAGGGCGAGAGCAGGTCAGAAGTCAATCAAGTGCGTCTATCATACAGTCCTGACCTTGACAGAAACCAGCTTGGAACTGCTGTGTAAGCAGGTCTTTCGGGCGTTGCCGGTGGTACTGTACCGTTTTCAGGTTTTCAATAAGAGTTCTTTCCATCTGACCAGCACGCTCAGCGACTTGACTCGTACTTTCACGCCCGAGCTCCTTGTGTATACCATAACGCAAAAAGTAATGGCGGTTTGTTAAACCAAGGAGCTTACCACTTGGATGATAAGCTACAGCTTCGACGATTCAGCTTAAACTCTCATGCAATGCTCTTGATGGTTATCTTCAGAGTGCCAGTGATGCAGATCCTCTTTGCTGGTCTGCTTCTCCATGTGTTATATCTTTACTGCCTACCGGCGGCAGCGAGTATGCAAAGGGGTTCTGTTGAATATGGAACAGAATACACATGGTGCACACTCGCTACACGTCTGACTCGCCTCTTACAACATTCATATCGTAAATTGTCTGGTGGAGTGATCAGCTCGTCTCTTCTAGGTAACAGTTCTAGCTCTCCGCAGCAATTAATTGGATCAGGCTGCACATGACCACCTCGTGTTCAGGCCGTCTTATCTTTGATTCATCAGACTTCGATTTATAGGCACCTGTGTGCACTGGATTCGTGTAAAATGCTGGCGATCGTTGTATCAGGCTCCATCGAGCTACATCGGCGATTCTGGCTGCGGAACGGTTCACAATTAGCCCATTCTTCCCAAGTACGCTTGCCCGAATAACGAACACGAGGCTTCTAAACCTTGTAAGATCACGGGAGTCAGCGCATGTTCCAGCGGATCGTCCCGAGTTATCTTCAAACGAATCACACTGGTGGCTATTGTGACCTTCAAGCGCTAGATACGCACATAAAATGCCCGTGTCGTTTCCGCGAACTCCGACCAGCTTTGAAACTATCATCACCCACAAATCATCATCTGCTTTTTATCGACCATGGCATCAAACAGCTCTCGAAATGGTGTGTTACGAGTACACCACCACCCAGAGTACTATCTCGAAGACGGTAATGTCACCTTCCATGTACGCCACACTTTTGTATATCCCGCTCGCGCTGATCGCCACGTACGAGTAGGTCGAAAATCTCTTTCGTGTCCACAAGCACTTCTTTGAGTGCGAGTCGCAATTTTTTGTCAAGGAGTTTGAAAAAGCTCCCCAGGAGGGAACTTCAGATTCCACTGCATTTCGAATCGATCGGGTAAGCACCGCCGACTTTGCGAAGCTACTATGGGTCTGGTACGATCCGTAAGTATTCGTTTAAATTATTGTGTTCTACAGTCATCATACTTAATCACTGGACATAGCTCGTACAGACGCGAAAGCAAACCGAAAGAACACTGGCTCACCATACTCGAGCTCTCCACGATCTGGCAATTCCCAGAGATGAAGAAACTCGCCGTCGACGAGCTCCAAAAGCTCGATATTGAACCCATTGAAAAATCACCACGTACGAGAAATACCACATCCATAAATCGCTGCTATTGCCTGCATACATGCTCCTGTGCAAGCGGGCGAGCCGAATGTCCGCCGAGGAGGGTGAGCAGCTCAAGATGCCCACTGTCCTTGGGATACATGAAGCTCGCGAGCGTGCAGCCAGGAGCGCAGCGGAGAGGGGGTGTCGTAGCCCAACCTCCGCTGATGCAGACGATGAGGAGCTGGAGAAGATTTTGAATGACGTGTTCAGTCTGAACGCCACTAACCGACAGGGCGCACAGCCGCAGGGGAAACCAAATCCAGTGCCTATCATTAAGAAGCCGGAAGCGAATGGAGCCGCTAATGGCAGTAGGTCGTCTGCTTCAGGTTCGGTCAGTAAAGTCTTCTGTATGAGATCGTGTAATGTGTAGCTGATTGAAAACACTCTGTTCAGGATGATGATAAGCAGAAGGAAGCCGACAAAAATAAAGGCACAGTATGTTACCCGACTTACTAAACATACTTCACTGATGCTCGGGGCATATAGGAAAAGGGAAAGCAAAGATGAGTGAGGAACCAACGGAAGATGGGGGTTGCTCAACTGAGGAACCAACGGAAGGTGTAGGTTCTGATGAACCGATGGAAGGTGGAGGTCGCTCAAGTGAACTCTCGATTTCTGTGATAGAGCCGAGCGGAGCGCACTCGGGTTGATGTGTACCTTCCATTCATGACAGTAATAATCGCGTATACGTATATCGTCCTCCTTGTCTGATATCAAGTCACTGTATTCTTGACAATTCATGTGTTCCGCAATACACCATCGAACAACCATCTGAGTCGAAGCACCAGCAGCCAAAGAGAGAGAGAGAGAGAGAACTTCTATATTTATATACCGCAACAAACAAAGTAAACTGTTAAGACGCGGTGCCCTGTTGGGGGCTGTACTGGGGAGTATTGTAACAGGGTAGGGGGTGTAAGTATAGTACGAATAGCCAAGCGGTCCACGTTTGAAAAGTTCCGGTGCGCGTATTAGTTTGTTCGGCGTCCAGGCTGATTATAACATCTTCTCCTCGTTCCATGTTCTCCTCGTCTCCTCCCTCCTTCGTCTCCTCCTTTTCCGCCCTCATCAGGCATCTATCCCTCTCCTTTCTTCCCAGTCCTCTTCTCGTTCCGGTGTGACCTTTTTGAATGCGCTGGACTCTTCAATAAACTTCACTAGGGCCTTGATGTCCTTTTCCGTACCCAGGACTTCGTTGAGTATGATGTTGCGGGATACCTCAACCAGCAGCCAAAGAATTCGACGTTCAGTTGACACTCGCTTAACATAGACGATGCTAATCAACCTGAATCGTACACCCACCACAAAGCAGCTGTATGGTAGTACGCGCTGAGCTGAAGTCTCAGAGTATGCTGCAGACTAGCAGCGAGTCGAAGCTAGGAGCCGGGGGCGTACATCGCACGGGCGTTAGCAAAAGGCATGGCCAACCCGGTGTAGCTTGGATGCCTCACCAAGTAGGGTCCACTTGTTGTGAGCTTGCCCGTCTCGAATATATTACTCTTACGTGAAGAAGTGACTCAACGTTCTGTAGCACTGCCAACGAATGTAACCCGACATCACAAACACCGAGCTTCCTAGAGCTTATGTCGTGGTGAGTTTGCTTGCGTCAGGGTTCGCTGGTTTCCCCAGGATCCATGACTCTTGCCAATACGCAGTGTGGCGGGCAGAACGACCGAGTGGCCAGCCAGACTACAACTGACTAATCGTGAAATTCGCATCCGATCGAGTGGGCACTGATTTCAGGAGCCGCGGTATGAGCACATAAACAGGCACGATAAGCCTCTATTAAATTGGAGTCATCACCCGATCTCCTTCGGTGGAATCTGGAGCAGTGACTGAGATATGAAAACACGCTGCAGCTGCAAAAATAAATCTAAGCTTTGCACATCACGCTTGATCAAGAAGCACTCACCAGCTGATGGTGTATGCCATATATGGGGGAACACGTAGCGTGTCCCTGCATTCAATTTCACCATAAAAATTAGTTCGTGGGCGCAAGAATCTACTAATTGAACGCCACTCGAAGGGAGCGTTTCGGTCAGTAAGATTAAGTCAATATTGTACGAAACACCTGTTCTCTTCCATGAGCTCCTGCTAAGCGCTTTTGAGCTCTTGAGACCCTGATACGACCCTGCTCGACCACAGCAATACCAGGGTGCGCTATTTTTTGCGACCACGACCAGTCTGACGTTGCAATCCTGTAAAAGTCACAAAAGAACTGTAAGGGAATAATGAGCCAGGTAGAGCCTCATGCTGGTCATGTGTGGGTCTCAAGGCAAGACCCTGAATCAAGACAGATAAGTGTGCGTGATACACACCATCTTGAATGACTGTAAACCATGATTTTGGCGCCTTAGGGATGCTAGGCTCGCGTCAGTGAGAGAAGACCTGAGTTTGAAAAGAAAGTTGCTATTTCTTGGCTATGATTCCGAGACATTTTCTGCTTTCCTACGAGACTAGTGTTGCCGTGGGTCCGGCTTCTGTCCGGCTTTAGCCGTGGGCGGAGCGTGTAATTAGCCAAGCCGTGTGATTAGTTATGGCTTACATAATTCATGGCCTGGCCCAGTTAATAAAGCGCGCTTACTGTCTCCGAGCCGGCTTCAAGCCAGCTGATTTAAAATTAGAATTTTATATTTTTATATTTTTAATTTTATGATTACACATTGATCAAAAATAGATTACATTTAGAATTATCGAAGATCTAACTACTACCAACGCACGATCGATAATCACACGGGCGCTAATGGCCCCCCAAGACCAAGTATGTGATTATTTCGTTAATGTTTGATTAAAAACTAAACTAAAGTAGGAACTGTGCTGCGTTTCTCCCCCACGGCAGCTACGTGAGCCATCCATGACGAAGAAACGCTGCAAATTAAAGCAGCGAGGAGGTGAAAGAGGACGAGAGGGTTGGAGAACGAGGTGGCGGGGTTGGATGGTGAGGGTGTTTGGTCGCGAACGGGGGAGTCGGCGGCGTTGGGTGGAGGCGTTTGAGAGATCGCGAAGGGCGTTGAAGGGTATGGGGGATAGGGGGATAGTTGCGGGTGGTAATGAAAGAAGCGGGTTCATCAGTTACATGTTCTACCTCGATCGTCGGTTGCACGCACCTTTAGCCGCTATGATACTCGTGCACACGAACACACGCACATGCCGCCCGTCCTCCGGTCCTATAAGCCATAACTGCATCTGGGTTGTATATCACGTCAGCGCTAGAACACGAGTACGAATAAGCAAGTACGTACCCGCCCTAGAGTAGGTTAGCATATGCACCTCCGCTATACAAGTCCTCTGGGTATACATTCCACGACGGCGATGAGCTCGGAAGGTGCGCTAGGGATGTGTGGATGATGGGTACAGTAGGTGGTCGCGGGGAAGATGCTGCATATCCCTCCTTGTGGAACTGATTGGGAGGAGCCCATGAGCCAATACTGTGGTTCGACTCCTTGTCCCAGAGCTCGTTCTCCTGTAAACCAGATCAGTAATATATCTACAAAGGGACCTAAAACCACGCACGTAATCATTCCATGACTTGAGAGGAATCGCGCGAGGATTGAACTTGCCTTCATCCTAAAGAAACTTTATCAGTATCAATCAAAATAAGGGGACCACAAAACACCTACATGAACGATCATCTTCTTGCCAGATTCACCCAACACGACACAGGTGGCACCCCAGGAGAAGTCATCCATACGCCAGAACGAATAGAGCGGGAGCATGAGAGAGAAGATCGGGATGGCCAGAATGTAGAAGACCATCCATCCAACCATGTCCCACTTGCGCCGGAGGATAAACACGAGGGCTTGTAAGCCATACACGGCACCGATCATGACGAGCGAAATGACAGGGAGAGTTTCCGCCTTCGTGATGACTTCCACAACGAGATACACGATCTACAACTTCAAGTCAGAATCCGAAGAAAACCCAGAACAGAAATCGGACGCACATAGCCGACAGTGATAGGCTGAATGATAGTCGAAACCAAATCGATCATGACCACAAACCGCATCGAAACAACAGAAACCACAAAGCTGCTCCAAGAACATCAGCTCTCCAAGGTTATGGACTGTCGAGTTGATCCAGCGACGACGTTGAGAGAGCAGAATCTTCCAGTCATCAGGCGCTACGGTAAACGCATGGGCGTCACGAACGAATTGGGTCTTGTGCAGCGGGAAGTGCTTTAGGAGGAGCGAGTAAGGTATCGATCTTCTCCAAGGTGCAGCAAGTTCTTCATGTGCAGGGTATCGACGCGGTTCTGCGAATAGTCCTGGATCATCTGGTTGGATATCAAAAGGGGCTTGTGGGTATTGGGAGTCCGCAAACGATATAGAGACAGGAAGGTGGTAGGAGAAGGCGACAATGTTAGTCAACGGTCCAGGGGGGGCAGAGGTTTGTATGGCGGCAGAGGCAGGAAGGTGGTAAGGAGGAGAAGGCGGCAATGTTAGTCAACAGTCCAGGGGGGGCAGCCTGATAGAAACGAGCTCTGAGAGGACCAAGACCACCTAAATACACGGTCAGTGGCATCTGAGTTGTGTCTTTGGGTCTTCATAGAAGAAGTGCGACACGGTCATTTCGAGTATATTGTTCGTCGGTCAGTAAACTGGCGCCGAGAAAGGGTGATCCTCGAGCTCAACATATGTCAAGGATCTTACCCAGTAGTGGACTGAAGAATATCCGGATTGCCTAGACGAGGAGACTGTCAGATAACAACTGAAATTCAATATGCAAACACAATGCAAGAAGAATCATAAGGTGCGTGAGGGTAAACAAAACGTGAAAAAAAAAATGAAAGATCAAGGACATGTCAGATATCAAACGACAACCTCGTCGTCGATGTCATCGCACTCTTGCTCTGCGATGGCTTTGAGGACAGCGTCATATGCGCTGCTGTCATCTGTAGGTCCACTTGAAACAGGCCCCAAAAGCTCATCGAAGCTATTGTCAGATACCACCCCAGTTTCCATGGCCCATTGCGATGCCGCCCAACCTTTGGTGAAGTTAAGTCGCTCCTTTTTTAAGGAGAACTTCACCATCTGTAGCGCTTCCATGAGGATCGGGCTGATACAGTTACGCCTCTTTGTGTACGTTTCGCTGCTCGACGAGAACACTCGCTCACAGGGAACAGCAGATGCCTGGACTGGGAGGTAGTCCATAGCAACGGCGTAAACCGTTGGGAACATCCCCTCAGACATCTGGTCAAAATCTCGTGGTCAACAACAAAATACGTCACTTGACGGAGACGACTCTCACCTGCCAGAAGGAGAGTATATTTGTTCCCCTGGGGCTGATGTTAGCTGTGGTATAAGCCGCAAACTCCTGATCGATTGTCTGGACGATATCGTCACCAACTGGCGGTGCATCCCCCTCACGAAGTCCGTAGACACGGGAGCCTAGCGTGCGTGATTGTAGTTTTGGGGGTGGTTGGATTGGAGCCGGTGTATTGGAGGTCCGCTGTGCTCTTTGATATGCATCTAAAGGACATATGAGCGCATGCTGTTGCTAGATAGATAGAC